GCCACAAAGGCATCTCATTCAGCGATTTGTGCATGTTTCCCCACGTCTATTTGCCTGTTGGTTTTAAAACTCCAAAGTTTAAGAAATACGATGGTCACGGAGACCCCATAGCTCATTTGAAGAGATATTGCAATCAACTGATGGGTGCAGAGGGGAAAAAAGAGTTTCTTATGGCCTATTTTGGGGAAAGCCTAGTGGGAATTGCATCTGAACGGTTCATAGATCAGGATATTACCAACTGGCATACATGGGATGATTTGGCTCGATGTTTTGTGCAACAATTCCAATATAATATTGACATTGTGACAGACCGCTCCTCATTAGCCAACACGAGGAAAAAGACCACGGAAAATTTTCTTGAATATGCCGTTATATGGAGGGAGCAAGCTGCTAGGGTTAAACCACCAATGAAGGAGTCGAAGATGATTGACGTTTTTCTCCAAGCGTAAGAACCTGATTACTTTCACTACTTGCTTTCTGTCGTTGGAAAGATTGTAAGCCAAGCTGCCTTAAAAGCCACAACACAAGTGCTTTAAAATGGTTCTGGAAATATTGGAGGGAAGAAAAGAAGGGAGGGTGTAGCTACGGTTGTATCAGCGCCTCAGACTTATGTCTAAGATAATCCCCCGTAACACTATTTTCCTTCCCAAACTCCACAATATCCCATCCCATATTCTCCGTATTCCGTTTTCAGCGCACAACCAATTGTCCTCCCTTCTTATCTGCAATGGCGTGCCCCAATTCCTCAAAATCATCCGCCACCCCCACAAATTCACCAAAATATTGTTAGACTTACTTTTCGTCCTAGAAAAGAATACAAGAGGGGAAATGGAGCTAAGGATGAATTCACCCCTATTGGAGAAAATTTTGAGTCCTATTGAAAGAAAGATGTCAAATCCTCCCCCAAGAAATCTAGATTATTCTCAACACTGCACCTATTGTTCTGATGCCCCAGGGCACAACATAGAGAGGTGTTGGTACTTGAAAAAGGCAATTCAAAATTTGATCGATACTCATCGAATTATCATTGAAAACCCAAATGGACCAAACATCAATCAAAATCCACTACCCAGGCGTACTGAAACAAACATGTTAGAAATGATGAATGGTTGCGAAGAAGTTGCAGTGCTATACAAGCCAATCCTTAAGGTTGGAACTGGCATGGAAAATTCGGCGAATGTTGTTGACTTGACAAAAATGGTGCCTTCAGGGGCAGAAAGGACGTCGAAAAAGTTAAGCCCATCAAACACACCCATCCTAACTGTGAAATGAGCACTTGAAGATGTTTGGGCAAGTCAGAGAGAGGCAAGATTGGTTGTTCCAAGAGGGCCAAACAAGTCTATCTTGATCGTGCAAGGAGCTTATATTCCACATGTGATCATTAGGCCAGTGTCCCAACTTTCAATGACAAACCCCAAGGCTGCCCCTTGGAATTATGAGCCTACCGTTGTGACATACAAGGGGAAAGAAGTCAATGAAGAAGTAGATGAAATAGGAGGAATGACTCGTTCAGGATGATGCTATGCCCAGACTGAATTAAGGAAAAATAAAAATGACCAAATGCAAGTTAAAAGTCCAGTCACTGAAGGGGAGGCAGAGGAGTTCTTAAGAGAGATGAAATTGTCAGACTACTCCATTGTGGAACAGTTAAGGAAAACTCCAGCCCAAATCTCTTTGTTGTCATTGTTAATACATTCAGATGAACATCGTAAAGCTGTAATGAAGATTTTGAACGAAGCACATGTTCCTAAAGAAGTTACAGTGAGTCAGTTAGAGAAGATTGCTGGGAGAATCTTTGAGGTAAACCGCATCACCTTTTCAGATGATGAACTACCAGTGGAAGGTACGGGAAATAACCAAGGCCTCCATATCACTATAAAGTGTGAGCTTTCATATGTCACTCGAGTTCTAATTGACGGAGGGTCTGGGGCGAATATTTGTCCTTTGTCAACTCTACAAAAATTGAATGTTAATATTGAAAGGGTACGACCCAACAACGTATGTGTTAGGGCTTTTGATGGGTCCAAAACAGATGCCATTGGGGAGATTGAACTCATACTAAAAATAGGGCCTGTCGATTTCACCATGAATTTTCAAGTCCTGAATATCAATGCATCCTACAATCTATTATTGGGGAGACCATGGGTACATAGGGCTGGGGCAGTCCCTTCTACGTTGCATCAAATGGTTAAGTTTGAATACGACCGGCAAGAAGTAATTGTTCATGGTGAGGGGGACTTGTCAGTCTACAAAGACTCTTCCCTTCCTTTTGTCAAGGCGAATAATGAGAATGAGGCACTGGCTTATCAAGCTATCGAGGTAGTGGTTGTTGAGCATATCCTTGAGGGGAATCTCATTTCAAAACCACAATTGCCTATGGCGTCCGTGATGATGGTAAATGAAATGTTGAAGCATGAGTTTGAACCGGGTAAAGGCTTGGGGATCTTGTTGTAAGGGAGAGCTTATCCAGTGAGTCCACGAAAGAGCCTTGGTACTTTTGACTTAGGATACATGCCCACAGTCGAGGACAAAATAAAGGCCAAGAAGCAGAAGAGAGATGCATGGTCACTTACCAAGCCGATACCACCCATATATAGATCTTTCCTCAAAGCCCGCACAATAGAATCTTCTGAGTCACCACTCCTAGAGCCAGTGCTAGAGGTTCACTAAGAATTGAGCAACTATTTTCAAGATTTATTTGTCGAGGCTGATATGGTTGAACTCGGAGAAGGCACTAGCGACAGAGATGTGCAATTCATTGGTCCTGATGTCCAGCTGAACAATTGGGAGGCAACTCCTCTAACCATTAAAAATGAGTCTTGGTAGTCTGTCTTGTTTTTCTTTTTGTCATCCGATTTATTCAAGGGTTGTAATTCGGATTTTATCTCACCATTTTATTTCAAACTCTCTATTTTCCTTTTCAATAGGATGTAATTGTGTTTTTATTTCAGTCTAATATTTTTATTTTGTTTTCTTCTATATAGTTCTTTTTATGCCGATTCTAGTGATATGACATGCATGCAGAATGTTTTGCCAGATCTTAAAATCCAATCTAATCTTCGACCTAATCCTGAAATAATAAGTCAAGAAATCGAATATGATGAAGACGAAGTATTTGAAGAAGTAAGCAGGGATTTCAAACATTTTGAGAATAAATTAAACCCAAACATGAGTGAAACTGAGACAATAAATTTAGGGGATCCTGAAAATATTAAGGAGACTAAGATAAGCGTACATGACATCAAGAAATAGAAGTTTATGTGGATAATGTGATCATTAAATAAAAAAAGTAGTCAAATCATGTGCAAGACTTAAGAAGATTCTTCGAAAGGCTTTGCAGGTATAATCTCAAGCTTAATCTTGCAAAATGTGTATTTGGAGTACCGTCAGGAAAGCTTTTGGGGTTTATAGTCAATCGACGAGGTATCGAGTTAGATCCTTCAAAAATAAAGGTCATTCAAAAACTGCCACCTCCAAAGAACAAAACTGAGGTTGTGAGCCTTCTAGGAAGGTTAAACTACATTAGTAGATTCATTGCTCAACTCATAACAACTTGCGAGCCCATTTTTAAGTTGTTAAAAAAGAATGCCACAGTCAAATGGACCGAAGAATATCGAGAGGCTTTTGAAAGAATTAAGAATTACTTATTGAATCCCCCTGTGTTGGTTCCTCCCGAGCCGGGCAGACCATTGATATTATATATGTCAGTACTGAATAATTTTTTTGGCTGTGTATTGGGTCAGCATGATGGCACTGGCAAGAAAGAGCAGGCCATTTATTACCTCAACAAGAAATTTACGATTTATGAACCGAAGTACACCATTCTCGAAAGAACGTGTTGTGCCCTAACTTGGGTAGCACAAAAGTTGAAGCACTATATTTCATCTTATACTACTTATCTCATTTCTTGTATGGATCCGTTAAAATACATTTTTCAAAAGCCCATGCCCACGGGCAGGCTTGCGAAATGGCAAATATTACTCACATAGTTTGACATTATCTATGTGACGCGGACCGCAATGAAGGCTCAAGCATTGACAGATCATTTGGCAGAGAACCCTATTGATGATGAATATGAACCACTTAAGACCTACTTTCCAGACGAAGAGGTGTCATGTATCGATGAAGTTATTCATGATAAGGATCAAGGATGGAAGTTGTTCTTTGACGGTGCCTCTAACAAGAAGGGAGTTGGGATAGGAGCAGTTCTTATGTCTAAATCAGGGGAATATTTCCCTATAACAGCCAAACTTAGATTTTATTGTACCAATAATATGTCAGAGTATGAGGCTTGCATCCTAGGTTTGAGTTTAGCTGCTGACATGGGCATCCAAGAGTTATTAGTGCTAGGAGACTCAGACTTACTAGTCCATCAAATTCAAGGAGAATGGGAGACTCGTGACCCAAAGCCCATACCATATCAACATTGTTTACAAGATCTTTGTCGACGGTTTGTGTCAATAAAGTTTAGACACATTCCTAGAGTTCATAATGAGATTGCTGATGCATTGGCAACTTTATCTTCGATGCTCCAACATCCTGATGAAGCTCATATCGACCCTTTGTATATACAAATTCGTGATCAACATACTTATTGCAACATGGTGGAGGAAGAATTTGACGGTAAACCTTGGTTCCATGATATTAAAACATATCTTTAGTTCGGAGAATATCCTACTAATGCCACTAGTAATCAAAAAAGGACTATTCAGCGACTAGCTAGCAGTTTTTTCTTAAGCAGAGGCATATTGTACAAGAAAACACCTGATTTGGGTCTTCTAAGATGTGTAAATGCTAAAGAAGCTTCAACAATAATGATTGAAGTACACTCAGGAGTTTGTGGACCTCACATGAATGGATATGTGCTGGCAAAAAAGATACTTTGAGCAGGTTATTATTGGCTCACCATGGAGTGGGATTCTATACGATTTGTTCGTAAATGTCATTAATGTCAAATACACGGTGATTTGATACATTCTCCTCCCTCCGAGTTACATGCGATGTCTGTTCCATGGCCTTTCGTGGCATGGGGAATAGATGTGATTGGACCAATAGAACCAAAAGCATCGAATGGTCATAGGTTCATCCTAGTGGCCATTGATTACTTTACAAAGTGGGTGGAAGCAGTAACTTTTAAGTCAGTGACCAAAAATGTCGTGGTGGATTTCATTCATTTCAACATCATCTGTCGATTTGGTACTCCAAAGGCAATTGTTACCGATAATGCTGCAAATCTCAACAGTCGTTTAATGCAAGAGGTATGCCATCAATTTAAGATTGAACATCAAAATTCGACTCCTTATCGCCCAAAAGCAAATGGGGTTGTAGAAGCTGCTAACAAAAATATAAAAAAGATACTTCATAAAATGGTGTAAAGTTCTCGACAATGGCATGAAAAGTTGTCTTTTGCTTTGTTGGGTTATCGCACTACAGTTCGTACGTCAGTGGGTGCCACCCCTTATTCGCTGGTATATGGGACTGAGGAAGTTATACCTGCAGAGGTTGAGATTCCATCCCTGCGGATTATTGTAGAGGCTGAAATTAATGATGATGAGTGGATCAGAACACGCTTGGAGCAATTAAGTTTGATTGATAAGGAACGATTGACATCAGTATGCCATGGAAAATTGTACCAGAAAAGAATGGCACGAGCATACAACAAAAAGGTGCGTCCCAGGCGTTTCGAAGAGGGTCAATTAGTGTTGAGATGTATTCTGCCACACCAGGCTGAAGTCAAAGGCAAATTTTCTCCAAATTGGAAAGGACCATTCATTGTAAAGAATGTATTATCCAATGGTGCTCTTTACTTAGCAGATATAGAAGGCAAAATGATAGAAATGGTCATCAATGTTGATGCTGTGAAGAGATATTATATATGATGTAATTTTTCGGTATTAGAAACCCTTATGTTTGGACTTGACATTTCAAAGGTTGATGTAATGGAAATTCTTGGTTATGTGTCTAAGTATTAATTCATATGTTGTCACCCTTGCTGAGAGTTAATTTACTTCCTTGGTTCTCTTCTGCTTCCTTGGTTCTTTCATATAAAAAAAAAGAAAAAAAAGAAGAAGAAAATCAATCAACATGAACTACGTTTGACCTGATTCTTGTTTCGATAATGTCACGACCTGGGAGCACCCCCAAGTCGTAACAAGGCGTACTCAACCCCGAAGGGGTCTTATACAAACCACATAGTCATTCATTGCATTCAATAATGATAATAGTGAGGAATTAAAAACTTATTTACATCCAAACATTCAAGCTTCATTAAAACAACTTTAAAAACACACAGCGGAAGTCTAAGTCTCACATGACCATCTTAGACACAATCACAAAACATAAGTAGGGACACGGCCCCTTACAATAAAAAAAAGTCTATTAAGTCTATTACAAGAACCTTATCATAAAATTAGAATAGAAAAGTCTTGTCCTCGACATATGAGGACATACCACAAGATCTTGGAAGAACTTCAAGTTCCAAGCTTACTATAGAACCCGCTCACTTTCCGGAACCTACACTAGTAGAAAATAGAGAAATATGGAATTAGCACAATTAAGTACTAAGTATGATGACCATGCAAAACATGCTTTAAAAAGGGACATTTTGGCTAGAAACCATGCATTATGCCACTTTT